CCGGCAAAATAGATTGCCGACAAAAACAAAACACAGTCGGTGGCTTGTGGCTATGGCCGGTGGTATGGTGGGATGCCTCACAAGGCATTCCCTGCCCCTCCAAGGTAAAAACACAAGTCTTTGTGCAAAACCAGACACTAAACGGTTGAGTTCGGAGATCCTAAGGCAAGGCGCGTAGCCGAGACCTCCGGAAACTCCAAACGAACACAAACAAGGTAATCACCAAGTGTTCCAATAGTGACGTCCGAGTCTTGAGGACGGTCAAAAATGGGATGTCTACACAGCGCAAGTCACATAAAATATAAAAAAAATTCCAATTCAGAATAGGCTTCTAAAAAAATTACAAAATAAATGATAAACTTTATAAATATTAATAATTAAAGTTATAAATTTTTGTATAGATTATAATAATTTTATTGATTGTACCACTTTATTCGTAATTCCCTAAAAATATAAATCGAATCCAGGGGATAATTTTTTATGTCTGAGGGGACAACTCGTCGGATTTTAAACTTCAGGGCAAAAAAAGTGTAAATAGGCACATATTGCAGGGCTTAAACGACAATTTCCTCCAAAACGGTACTCACGCTCCCTCAACCTCACTCACCCACCCCCAAAACAGCGCCAGTTAGCAATATATAACAACAGAGAACTGAGAGAGAGAGAGACGAAGCAGAGATTCTCAAAAGAGCATATTGAAAATGGCGGCTTCTACTTCATTCAAGCTTGCTCTCCGCCCCCTCTCTCAGGAAATCACCTCCCTCCTCTCTCTCATCGAGGCCTCTCTCTCTCCTCCGCATTTCGGCTTCTCCGGTCTCCCTCCCCCGCCGCCAGACCGATCTCTCTTTACCCATAATGTGAAAAATGGGAAAACTAAATGGGTTGGTAAAGACGGTTAACGACCACACTAGTCATACATCATAAATGATGAGAATGTTAAGTTGATATTAGTAGTGGATTAAAATGAGTAAGTCTTGCGCAACTGGTTGTTCGGAACCCTTGAATGGAGCGGTTGTATTCGGATCCTAGGTAGTTCGGTGTAAGGAGGGGTTTGGGCTAGGCCCATCATTACTGTCTCTTTTGAGGCCCTGCGGTTGCCGCTACACGGTATATAACTATTGGTAGGCATCCGAGGTAAGGTAAAACAACAAAAGAGGGGGCATACCGAATAATCTGTGTCCAATTCTTAGAGTTGGGAGGATGAAATCTCTTTGGGGAATTTTTGGACTACTAACAGCTAACCATATAATCAGTCCTATGCACTTAAATGCCATGATCCTTTCCTTTGCTTTTTTTTTTTTTTTTTTTTTTTTTGTTGGTTTTTGTGTTTTGTTTTTTTTTTTTTTTTTTTTTTTTTTTTTTTTTTTTTTTTTTTTTTTTTTTTGGGAAAAGTAAGGGAATCGAATAAAAAAAATATGGTGATGGTGATGAAATGATAAGCATAGTGATAATGAATATATAATGATGAATAAAAAAAAATAATAAAGGAGGGAGTGGGGAACAGGGAGAGCACCAATTAAGCTTTAAAATAAAAAAGAAAGTTTGGACGGTGGATGGGTGTGAAGTTTAGACCAACTAAGCTTTATAATAATGAAAATAAAGGTGAAGATTTGTTTAAAAATAAAAAAAAATAAAAAAATATGGGTGTGTGTGCAAAAGGTGATGGATAAGAATGACCGCATGAGTGGTCGTGAGTTGTGTCTTTCAGATTCTAGCTTGTTTGTGGATGATGCTGAGGCTTATGAAAAGAGCACTGATAATACCAAAGAGAAGAACCTGATGTTAGTGAACAGGAGGTCCAAGAAAATCTAGCTGTAGGTCCAAGCACTTGACAGACGTGGCCAACGTTGATTGCTCTTACAACCTGAGTCCCGAAGAGCTCTGCACTAAGATCTCGCTCTGCGATGCTCTGATCGTTCGCAGCGCCACCAAAGTCAATCGCGATGTGTTCGAGGCGTCGGCTGGGAGGCTCAAGGTTGTCGGACGCGCCGGCGTCGGCATCGACAACGTGGATCTGGCGGCGGCGACGGAGCACGGTTGCCTTGTGATTAATGCGCCGACGGCTAACACCGTCGCAGCCGCCGAGCACGGGATCGCGCTTCTTACTGCCATGGCTCGGAACATTGCGCAAGCCGATGCTTCGGTCAAAGCTGGGAAGTGGCAGCGGAACAAATATGTGGGTGTGTCCCTTGTTGGCAAAACACTTGCTGTGATGGGTTTCGGAAAGGTTGGATCAGAAGTTGCCAGGCGTGCCAAAGGGCTTGGTATGCATGTGATTGCTCATGATCCGTATGCCCCAGCAGACCGTGCCCGTGCTATAGGTGTGGAGCTTGTGAGCTTTGATGAAGCCATAGCAACTGCTGATTTCATCTCACTTCATATGCCTCTCACTTCTGCTACATCAAAAATTCTCAATGACCAAACTTTTGCAAAGATGAAGAAAGGAGTTCGGATTGTCAATGTTGCTCGTGGGGGAGTAATTGATGAAGAAGCTTTAGTGAAGGCACTGGATGCGGGCATTGTTGCTCAGGTTCTTTCTTGCTCAAAAACCACTAAAAATCTGTTATTTGTGGAAGAAAGTGAATAACATTCCTCTTTCTTGCAGGCTGCACTTGATGTTTTCACTGAAGAGCCACCACCAAAAGACAGCAAATTGATACTACATGATAGAGTAACTGTAACCCCGCATCTTGGTGCCAGTACTATGGAAGCTCAGGTGTGTTAAAATGACAAAACTTGACACCTGTTCATGCTTTATATGTTTTTTGACATCATGTTATCATTTAATATTTGGGTTTGATGTGCAGGAAGGAGTGGCAATTGAAGTAGCTGAAGCTGTTGTTGGAGCCTTAAGAGGGGAGCTTGCTGCTACTGCAGTCAATGCGCCCATGGTTCCTGCCGAGGTATGTGAGGTATCAGGATTTTTCTTTTTTTAACATCTTTATTCCGAGTATTATCAGGCCTACAATATCTTCTCTAAACCAAATGCTGCACTTAATTTCCTCAGTTCATTTGTTTTACCATACATTTTTACAGTGGTGTGTGCTCTACACCTCTAATTTTTTTCTTTTTATTGATTTATTTGTTTTGATAAGTGAGTGTGTCATAGTGAGGTAGAATGTTATATCCAAGAAAATCTCAACATAATCAACCAACTATTTTTTTGATGCTTTGAGTTATTTATAATATTATCAACAATTTTTATCCAGTAATCTAATTAACTAGAAATTTTTTTTTTTATTGTGCAATGGAAGGACTTTTGACAATTTACTCTTGGATGAACAATTTGCTATTCTGCTTGTTTGTGTATGAAAATGATCGAATTTTTCATGTCTGTATATGATTAAATTATTTCTGGTCTTATCATTTAGTAGCTACTTAATTTGGGGACTGCTGATCCAATGTAGTATGAATTTTCAAAACCAACCCTCAGTTTTACTCTGTTGAAAATTCCCGTCCCCCCAAAAGAAAAATATAATTCACAAAGAACTTCCCCTCCCCACTGTTCCACCATTAAAAACTCAATTTAATCTTATGATTTTTTCCTCACAACTGCAGGTGCTTACAGAGCTCAAACCATTTGTTGAACTTGCTGAGAAACTTGGTAGACTAGCTGTCCAATTAGTGGCAGGTGGGAGCGGTGTGAAATCTGTGAAAGTGACGTATGCTTCTGCTAGAGCTCCCGATGACCTTGACACAAGGCTGCTTCGAGCCATGACCACCAAGGGTCTGATTGAGCCCATATCCAGTGTTTTTGTAAACTTGGTGAATGCAGATTTCACTGCTAAACAGAGAGGTCTTAGGATATCCGAAGAACGTATAATTTTAGATGGTTCACCAGAAAGTCCACTCAAAAGGTTCTTTAATGCTATCAGCTGTTAAGGTAATCTATTATATGTTTGTATTTCTGGAACTTCTAACAGTTATGTGTGCATTGCATCAACAAAATAAATAAGGCTGCAATTTTTGTTTTTGAATGTAATAATGGTGGTTTTGAGTTCAGTTTCACTGTTGACATAGACCCAAGTTACATCCAAAGCTTAATTGATCACTTGATTAAGCTTATTGCCCTCACTCAGTCAAACCAGAAAGATAGAGTGGCATTTTCAGCAGATAACTGGCCTATAACTTAATATATGAAAAGACCTTTGGCAAGGTAAAAAAAATTGAATACAGATCCATATAGCGGGCTCCATATTCAGGATTGCTTTTGTTGCCATTTGCTTTGTGACATTTGTCACTATCTGACTGATGCACTATTTGACTGCTCATGTTTACGTGTTTTTTGAGTTAATGTTCTTGAATGTTGTTGCTTGTTCTTAAAATATTAAATATGTACCTTGGGGAAACCGTTTTTGCCTTTCATTTGAAACAACAAGGGGTCAAAATTCAAGGAAATGAAACATGCAATTTACTTAATCGGTCATGTGACTAATTTTGGACATTTTACCTGGCAATACTTTACATTTACATTGTTACCAGATGCTTAAAAGGAAGATTACTATTGTTATTCACCCAAAAAAAAGATTACTATTGTTATTATGGTGGTTCATATTGTTATTTATTGAAATAAATGAAAAAACCAATTTGAACCTAGACAGAGTAATCTGATTATCACATTGTCTGAGCTTGAGGGATCATTTATCAATTCACTTTTTGCAGGTGGTTCATGTTGTAAAATCAGATTCCAGACTTGCAAATAATGATCTACCTGTTGATATCCAAAGGTTGAGATGTCGTGCTCTGTGTTATTCAAAGCGGACCTCAACCTGCTACACTTGAGGGCAGCATTTCACGAGCATATCGGTGATGTTATGGGTGCCTTGCGAGACTATCGAGTTGCTGTCTCTGTTGACCCAAACCATGAGATGCTGGAACTTCACAGCAGTCAAGAGCCATGAACCCCCAAAACACAAAATAGAATAAAAAAAAAATGGGGTTTTTTTTTATTTAAAATTTTAAATATTGTGTCACCATTGTATATTTTGTGAGCATGTGCAATGTAATGTCCATGTTTATCTTCTTTATAATTTTTTGGTAATCAATATCATGGACTGTCCTCACCACTGTTTCCTTCATACTTTTCCAAATGGCATGGATTCATCAAGAATCAACACTTAAAACTACGGTAGAGTGAGTGTTAATTTATTTAGGAATGGATCAGCTACTGCATGGATTTAACTTATTGGATTTTTTTCTTGAAGGATGTTGTATTGGGTACTATTATAGATGTGAGGGAATAATAATCTCACAGAAATATGTCTGTACAAAGTTTTATTCATTATTGCTATTTTACAGGTATATTTTTAAAGTTAAATCTTACAAAATTAGTAGTTTAAAAAAAAAAAGGAAAAAAATCTATTGCGGCGTTTTTCAAAACGTCACTATAGTTATACTTTTAAAATAATAAAAAAGCTATTACGACGTTTTTGAAGCGTCGCTGAATGCCTGTGTGACGTCATGTTACCGTTGCCTGCGACATTTAGCTTTAAAGCGTCATAAACTTATAGCG